TGAATGAAAATAAAACAGTGAGGGAGATTAAGAGAGCCAGGGTTATGGAAGACAATCCTATTCTCTTACATTTTTTTTTAATTTTAGAATATTATGGGGGTACAAACCATTTGGTTACATAAATTGATGTTGTACTGTGCCCATCCCCCAATGCACAGTAACTTTGTACCCATTAGGTGTGATTTTACCCATCCCCTCCTCCCCCACCACCTGCTTGATTTCCGATGAATGTTATTTCCATATGTGTGCATAGATGTTGATCCATTAGTTCCAATTTAATGGTGAGTACATGTGGTGTTTGTTTTTCCATTCTTGTGATACTTCACTTAGGATAATGGTCTCCAGCTCCATCCAGGTTAATACAAGAGGTATTAGGGTTCACCCCTTTTTATGGCTAAGTAGTATTCCATGGTATACATATACCACATTTTATTAATCCACTCATATATTAATGGGCACTTAGGTTGATTCCACATCTTTGCAATTGTGAATTGTGCTACTATAAACATCAGAGTGCATGTGTCTTTTTTATAGAATGTCTTTTTTTCCTTTGGGTAAATACCTTGTTTTTTACTTAGCCACATCCTACACAGCACCATCTGGGAATTGTGGCTTTTATATCTAGACATAACTTTTTAAAAACATAGTAAAATGTGTACATAACTGTGGAAACTAAAAATGTTTCTTCAGTGTACCATCTATAAACAGCTTTTTTTGCATCAGTGTACGTGTATCTTCCTTTGGGAAATGTTGTATTTACACCAATACTTGTCAAGTTTAAAGCCTACCCAAATACTACCTCCTCTCTAAAACTTTTGCCAAAATGATGGTACAAAATTAATCATCTAGGCAACATGCTGGGCACTTTATTGTAATTCACTTAATTAGATCACTCATAGTATTTTATAGTTTGTTATCTAGAGGTTTGTTTTCTCTAAGTTAAAGGCAGTGAGCAGGTCTCCATCTTCTATGTGTCCACAACAGTGCCAGGGAGATGCTCAATAAATACCACTAAATGAATAAACCTGTGCTCTCAGCAGGTTAAAAGTTGTTTTTGAGTCCTGTGCCTCCGTTTCCCCCTCTTTATTTTTCAGCTTTACCCTCACAAGTCTTCAGGAACCTCCTAAATTTTAGAAAGTAGGACTTTCTTACAGAACTATGCATCTAGTTAATGTCGGAGCCAGAAGAAAGACCTAGGGCGCTCTGACTCCTAATACTGTCATTGTTTTCTCCATGACATGCTTGTCCTAGAAAATGGCAGAGCCTCTAATGCTGAAACCTAGGTTCCATCAGGATCTTTAATCTTGAATGTTCTCCCAAATGGCTTTAAAAGACTCTTCAGTTTTATCACAGAATAGAAATGGCAGAATTCTAGATAGAATCATCAGAGTACTCCTGGATATGGGTGATACAACCTAGAGAATTTTATATTATCTCATGTTTTAAGGCTTTAGCCCATCACTCAAGTATCTTTAATCTTTTATTATCTTCCCTATCCAAATCCAAACTCCTTGTTCCTTTAGTCTGCTATTCTAGTGCTTCCCAAACCACAATTTACCATTCACAGTTATTGCTATATTTTTGTACCTTCTAGATTATTACTTATTTGCATTTAGTATAATTCTTTCCTTCTTTCCTTCCTTCTCTCCCTTTCTTCTCTGTCTCTCTTGCTTCTGACTTCCCTCCTGTCCTCTTTTTCAATACCTATAGATTGAGCCCTTACCACTTACCAGGTAGTATTCTAAATTCTGGGAGTATAGCAGCAAATAAAGTGGACCAAATTCCTTCCCTTGTAGA